CTTGCCGTAAAAAACACTGCTCCTTACCTCCAGGCTCTTGGCCGTACCTTGAGATCCGACGGCGCGAAAATATTGAAACATCGTAAAGCATCCCCGCCAGAACCCCGGACCACATCTTCCTGCCGCATTCTGCGAGCCGCACTGATTTGAGAAGGTCCCAGCGCCCGAAACCCGACGAAAAGCCCTGCTCGAAGAACTCGAGACGCCAGGATCTCAGGGTATCATTAGGTCGTGCATGTCTTCCTACAAGCGGCTTTCCCAAGACAAAAAACAAATAATCAAAACAAAGCCAACAATAATCGAGCACAGTCGAAACATCGTCCCCAGACTATTCTTCGACTCTTTTTCTCGAATATTCCTCCTGTAGAGGGACAGGGCCGACTTGAGGGTATCAGCCAACAACCTGCGACGGGATCCTTGGGATGGGGGGGGATCGGTTGCCGCGCGGCGGCGGGCGCTGAGGCAGGGCAGGCGGCAAGATGGGAGGAGGAGGAGAAGGAGGAGGAGGAGAAGGAGGAGGAGGAGGAGGAGGAGGGACAGGAGGAGGAGGAGGGACATGAGGAGGAGGAGGAGGAGGAGGAGGAGGAGGAGGAGGAGAGGAGGAACATGAGGAGAAGGAGGAGGAGGAGGGGGAGGAGGAGGATGAGGAGGAGACGAAGAGGAGGAGGAGGAGGAGGAGGAGGAGGAGGAGGAGGAGGAGGAGGAGGAGGAGGAGGAGGCGGAGGAGGAGGAGGGAGAGGAGGAGGAGGAGGGAGGAGGAGGAGGAGGAGGAGGAGAGGAGGAGGAGGAGGAGGAGGAGGAGAGGAGAGGAGGAGGAGGAGGAGGAGGGGCCAGGAGGAGGAGGAGGAGGAGGAGGAGGAGGAGGAGGAGGAGGAGGAGGAGGAGGAGGAGGGAGGAGGAGGAGGAGGGGGAGGAGGAGGAGGAGGAGGAGGAGAGGAGGAGGAGGAGGAGGAGGAGGAGGAGGAGGAGGAGGAAGGAGGAGGAGTAGGAAGAGGATGGGATGGGGCTGTGAGTCGTGAGCTCCCTCCGGAGGCCTCCCGAGATCTTCCAGGAGGTCCGCGGGCGGCCTGGGCACAGGCCCGCGGGAGACCCACGCGGTCCCAAGGGCGTGCAAGACGCTCTCCTCCTCCCCCTGGGAGCGGGGAGACTACGAGCCATGGGCCCAGACCCCCTCGCGCCTTGAAAGAGTCACGACGGGAGGCCTTTCGCTATCTTCCGCCTCTGAGGGGCCCTCACCGGGCCCCCAGACCGTCAAAGAGCGACTCGGGACGAAACACCGGTCATGGGGAAGGGGTCCAGACCTCTCGGGGTCGACGTTGTGTGAGGTCGGTCGCCATGTCCTCCTGCAGCCGTATTCTGAACGAGACATGAACATGTCGAAACATGTCGTGTTGTATGATAATAAGAGCACGGGAAGCCACCACCATGTTGTTTTTCGTTCTGACCTGTTCTTGGATACTTTCCTGTTGTGGAGGGACCTTTCTTGTTTTTTGTTGTTTTCCTTTTTTTCTGACTCGATCTTGGATAATTTCCTGTTGTAGAGGGACATGCCCGACTTCAACATTGCGAGCAAAAACACGACGTCGGGGCTCTGGGGAGGCGCTACCACGTTTCCCGACGGCGCCTCGTGACGTGGGCCACGGCGCACCCAACCGATCGATGCCCGCCTCTCGGCCTCGAGAGCACGCTGAACGCTGCACTGGCGACCGATCGGGTCTCCGCGGCGAACGGCGAGCGTCGGGGCGGAGAAGAGGAGGAGGAGGAGAAGAGGAGGAAAAGCGGAGAGGAGGAGGAGGAGGAGGAGGAGGAGGAGGAGGAGGAGGAGGAGGAGGAGGGGAAGGGGGAGGGGGAGGGGGAGGAGGAGGAGGAGGAGGAGGAGGAGGGGGAGGGGGAGGAGGAGGGATGAGGGAGGAGGAACGCCTCGGCACGGCCCAGCGGCTCTGGTACCTTGCACCATCGATGCCTGCCCTGCGCACCCTCCTGCCGATGCCTAGGCATCACCGGGTCGATGCCCAGGCATCGGCTGCGCCCAGCTACGTCCAGCTGCGTCCATGGAGGCATGCTGCGTCCATGGAGGCATCCCTCGATGCGTGCGCAGGCATACAGTACCCATGCAGATGCCTAGACATGCTACGATGATGCGTCGGCTTCTGGGCTGGGGGGTTCAAGGTGACGGCTGGTAGCAGAGCGGGCGAGCCGACCCAAGGAACGCTGCTTAGATTATGGCGGTGATGGCGGCTGCTCTGAGCGCCGCGTCGCCCTCTGGGGACCTCGTCGTCCTCCTCCTCCTCCTCCTCCTCCTCCTCCTCCTCCTACCTCCTCATTCTCCTCCTACCTCGTGCCACCCCTCTGCCTCCACGCCCTGGTCCCTTTCCTCGTCCTCCTCCTCCTCGCCCCCTGCCTCGCTGTAGTGGTGGTAGTGGTGGTGGTCGGCATCCTCCTCCCCCTCTCCTTGGTTTTCTGGTCATAGCTCGGCTCTCTAGCAGACGTTCGAAGCGATCTGCGCATCGGTGGAGCGCTCTCGGCGTGGCGCAGCTGCTGGAAGGAACCCAGAGGCTGGAAAGCCACCCAAAACCGACGAGAACCTCGAACCTTCTTGGCCGAGGCCGGTTATCGAGCCTCGAACCTCGAGCCTCGGGACAAGTCTGAAAACCTCGAGGCCTCGAGCCGGGGCCGACGCAAACGTCCGAAGTCCTCGAGCCTCGAACCCGAACCTTCTCGGCCGAGGTTGGTTGTATCGAGAGCTCGGACCCCGTGGGAAGCCGCAGGGAGGCGCTGGACGAGGAGGAGGAAGAGAAGGATGAGGAGGAGGAGGAGGATGAGAACGAGGAAGAGGATGAGGATGAGGATGAGGAGGAGGAGGAGGAGGAGGAGCAGGAGGGGCAGGAGGAGGAGGAGGAGGAGGAGGGGAGGAGGAGGAGGAGGAGGAAGGGGAGCAGGAGGAGGAGGAGGAGGAGGAGGAGGAAGGAGGAGGAGGAGGAGGAGGAGGAGGGACAGGAGGAGGAGGAGGAGGAGGAGGAGGAGGAGGAGGAGGAGGAGGAGGAGGAGGAGGAGAAGGGACAGGAGGAGGACGAGGGACAGGAGGAGGAGGAGGAAGGAGGAGGAGGAGGAGGAGGAGGAGGAGGAGGGGGAGGAGGTGGAGGAGGAGGCGCCCGTCGTCGGGCGCGGGAGGCCCCAAGAAGGCGCCAGGCGGCGAGGCCACCGGGGGAGGCGTGCAGCGCCGGGGCGGGCCTCGCGGGCCTGCGGGGGCCTCGCGTGGGGCCTCCGGAGGCCTCCGTCGAGGGCTTCGTCGTTGTGGTCGTCGTGGGCTCCGTCGTCGTCGTGGTGGTCGTGGTCGTGGTGGTCGCCGTCGTGGTCGTCGTCGTCGTGGTGGTCGTCGTCGTCGTCGTCGTCGTCGTCGTCGTCCTCATGGTTGCTGCCGTAAGCGTTGTGGGCGTCGTCGTCGTTCGAGGGCGTCGTCGCCGTAGTCGTCGTCTTCGTTGACGTTGTGATAGTCGCTGGCGTCGTCGCAGGTCGTTGTCATCGTCCTAATCGTCGTGGTCGTGTTCGTCGTCGTGGTCGTGGTCGCCGCGGTCGTCGTCGTGGTCGTCGTCGTCGTGGTCGTGGTCGTCGTGGTCGTGGTCGTGGTCGTCGTGGTCATCGTGGTCGTGGTCGTGGTCGTCGTGGTCGTGGTCGTCGTGATCGTGGTCGTGGTCGTGGTCGTCGTGGTCGTGGTCGTGGTCGTGGTCGTGGTCGTGGTCGTCGTCGAAGTCGAGGATCGGGGCGCCGCACGCTGCAGGGTGCCGCCGTGGGGCCAGGCGGGCGCCAGGCGGCCGCGGAGCGGGCCGCCTCCAGCGCGGAGGGGTCGCAGAAGGGCGCGTGCGCGCGGGAGACGGCCAAAAGCAACGCGCCGCGCGCTGCTGGGATCAACCGCGCGCGGGAGGGAGGAGGCGGACGAGGAGGCAGAGGCGGAGGCGGAGGCGGAGGCGGAGGCGGAGGAGGAGGAGGAGGAGGAGGAGGAGGAGGAGGGGCAGGAGGAGGAGGAGGAGGAGGAGGCGGAGGAGGAGGAGGAGGAGCGAGGAGGAAGAGATGGAACACTCCTGGGATTCCAACGCCGCGAATCAACGTGGCTGTCCTGTCCTGACGATCCGACGTGTTGCCGCAAATTAGTGCAACAGTGTGCGTGGCTCTTAAGCGAGAGCTGCACTTTAGGAACGCCCCGCCCTCCACCCTTGAAACTGTTGCAGAAATTTCGGACGATTATGCACGACGGTAATGCGAGAACCACATGTTGAAAGCCACTCGCCGCCCGTCCGCGAAATTATTCTGAAGGTTCGAAACGAATGTGTGCGGAGATAAAACGATAACCGCATTTTCAAACAAACCCGCCCTCCATCCATCCAAAATCTCGGGCGAAACGCCCAGCACGCCTTACCAACACGTCTGGGAGTGCGACAGGGAAAGTTGTGTGTTTCAGGGAAACACCTAGAATAGAGGCGGAGAAGGAGGAAGCGGAGGACCAGGAGCAGGAGGATGATGATGATGATGAGGAGGAGGATAAGGATGAGGATGAGGAGAGGAGGACAAAAGAGGGAGGAGGAGGAGGACGAGGACGAAGAGGAGACGGATGATGATGATGATGATGATGATGATGATGATGATGATGATGATGATGATGATGATGATGATGGTGATGAGGAGGATGATGATGATGATGAGGATAAGGATGAGCTTGATGTTGTTGTTGCTGCTGCTGTTGTTGGACATTATGATGATGATGGTGAGGATGATGACGATGATGAGGAACAGGAGGAGGAGACGGATAATGAGGAGGAGGACCAAGAAGAGTAGCATCTAGCAGCGATCGGAAGACGGCCTGGGGCGGGGCAGGACCAGCTGGGGAAGGGCGAGGCAGAGGGAACACCGCCTGGCACTTTCGCGTTTTTGCCGATCCCTTCCTGGACAGGGGGGAGGCGGGGCATGCAACGAGACGACGGACGACGCCGACGGTGGCGCAGCGCGACCTCGTGCAGGGTCGTGAGCTGCTCGAAGTGCCCCCGCTCCTTGCGGCGGAGCCCGCCGCGCGGCGAGACCGCCGCTGGCCCGGACCCCTGGCCCTCTACCTGCCTCTGCTGGTTCGCCCACCGCCGCCACCTCCTCCTCCGCTGCCTTCTCTGCCTTCCCCTCCTCCTCCGCCTCCGCCTCCGCCTCCCCCTCCTCTGCTGCGCCCCCCTTCCTCCTTCTCCTCCTCCTCCTTCTCCTCCTCCTCCTTCTCCTCCTCCTCCTTCTCCTCCTCCTCCTCCTCCTCCTTCTCCTCCTCCTCCTCCTCCTCCTCCTCCTCCTCCTCCTCCTCCCCCTCCTCCTTTTCCTCCTCATCCTCCTTTGCCTTGTGGTACAACGGCGCACATGCTACTCCCGCCACCGCGCGCCCGAGCCCACGCTCAGCCTGGTCTCCATTTGCAGCAGGCCCCAAGCCAAGTTGCCCAGAAAGGGGGAGGATGAGGATGAGGAGGAGAAGGAGGAGGATGAGAAGGAGGAGGAGGTGGAGGAGGTGGAGGTTGAGGAGGAGGAGGAGGAAGAACAGGAAGAGCAGGAAGTAACCAGAAGGCGGAGGAGACGGGAGCCGCACGACCCTCCCTTTAGGCGCGCGCGCCCGCTGGAGGCAAGGAGCGGGCTCAGGCGGCACGTCGGTCGGCCGCTCAGCGCCTTGGCAGGGCGCGCCGCCCTGGCGGCCAGACCGAGGTGTTGTACGCCTCGACGTCGGCTCTCTGCAGGGTGGCCGCCAAGCTCTGGCGCGCCGCCGAGAGCACTTCCCGCCCTTCCTCCTGCCCCTCCTTCCCCCCGAAGCATGCCGAGGACGGTGGCGCTCCCAGGGGCGCCTTCGGAGTGAGGGAGAGGGGGAGAGGGAGGAGGAGGAGGAGGAGGAGGAGGAGGAGGAGGAGGAGGAGGAGGAGGAGGAGGAGGAGGAGGAGGAGGAGGAGGAGAGAGGAGGAGGAGGAGGAGGAGGGAGAGAGGAGGAGGAGGAGGGAGAGAGGAGGAGGAGGAGGAGGAGGAGGAGGAGGAGGAGGAGGAGGAGGAAGAGGAGGAGACTTCTGGCTCTGAGCTCCAGAGGCTGCGCAACGCCCCGGACGCCTCGCGCAAGAGCGGGGGAACGACCAATGGCATCAATGTAACAACTCGGAGGCCCGCGCAGACTTCTCGGATCCGCGCTGGGGCCCCCTGGCGGCGTCTCCGGCGCCGCCCCTGGCGCGCTCCGCGCGCCAGGGAGGGCGGTCCAGCACCGATCCGAGAAATCCGCGCGGACCTCCCAGTTGTTATGTGTATGTCATTGCTTACTTCCCTGAAGAACGTGTCGACCTTGACCATGCCGACGATGGATCCGCAAGGCCCCTGCTGCCGCTGCATGCGCTCTGAGCGTCCACGTGCAAGTGTGGTCGCAGACACTGGCCAGGTCTTCTAAACCACCTGTGCCAACGATCATGCGGAACGTACTCCGTTGCAACCGGCAACCGTGCGCAGAGAGTCGCTCCCGTCCCTGTGTTCTGATCGCGCAAGCGGCAGACGTACATGGGAGGCCGCGCATAATGTATTACAGGTACATCTTGGTCAGAATAAGTAGGTACAAACATGAAGTAGGAAGGCGAATACAGTAGATTGGGTTCAGGCCCTTCCAGCAAATAACAACACACTGCAAACGTAGATCGATTCTTGAAATAGGAAGGCGCTTTAATTAGATTGGGATTTCGGAACCCCCCAATTATCTTTCAACGACCGACGTGGAGCTCTCGTCGTTTCAATGTCCATCAACTCTTGGCCACCTTGGAGGCATCTTGCCCCGTGACGCTCGCAGCTGTGGGCACCAGTGGCGAGCATGGAGGGCCTCTCCGTCGGTGGCTGCCTCGGCCAAATTGCCCACGACATCGTATCGCGCCTGGCCCGAGCGGACTTTCCAGACATTGATTATGCAGGGCCGAAGGGTCAGGTCTGGAGACACCCAGGAACGTTCGTCAAGCGGGGTGCGCGCTTCAACCGCCTTGATGCAGCCCCCTTGACGCCACCCCTTGATGCAACCTCTTGTTTTTGGTGGATCTGCAGAGGAAGGCGCGCTCTGAACCTCAGCCCTACTCAAGATATTGAACGCACTCCGCTGCGTGCACCGCATCGATTTCGGCAAATCCCACCAGCCCTTTGGGCGTGAGTGGTTTAGGGAGCTCTCTCTGTTCTCAACCCCCTTCTTCCCCTTCGGGGAGGGGTTTACCCCTCCCCCTACCCCCTCCCCCTCCCTGGACCTGGAGAGGGAGTCCCGAGTGGTGGCAAGGGGGCCTTTTTCGACTCCTGGGAGGGCCAAAAAACGACGACCCTCACGAGGATTCTGGCCCCGACTGGGGGAGGTAGTTTGGCCCCTCTGCTCGTCTTTGAAGCAGAAATCATTGATTTTACTAAGGTGTTGGCCCTATTTTGGCGTCCTGAGGGGGCCGCGCCCATCTTGCCTCATAGCAAAATCATTCATTTTACGAAGGTTTTGGGCTCAATTTATTCTTTTCAGGGGGCAGCTCTCCTTTGCGCTTCTGCGGAGGTCGCAAGAGGCCCCAAGATGGCTCCAAAGAGGCCTCCCAGAGGCCCCCCAGGGGCGCCCAAGCGGTCCCAAGAGGCCTCCAAGAGCCTTCCCAGAGGCTCCCAAGAGGCCTCAAGAGAGCCCAAGAGGCCTCCAAGAGGCTCCCTAGAGGCCCCCAAGAGGCCCCCAAGAGGCCCCAAGAGGCTCCAAGACGATCCCAAGAGACCCCACGAGGAGCCCGAACGACTCACACCAGGACGAGGGGCCCGAACGACTCACACCACGAAGAGCCCGAACGACTGCTACTGCTACTGCTACTGGTACTGCTACTCCTAGTGCTCTGCCTCGTGCTGCTTCTCGTACTACCACTACCAGTACTCGTACGACTACTGCTACTACCACTACTACTTGTACGGGTACTACTACTGGTATTGTTACTGGTATTACGACGATTCCTTCTTCTGCTATATCTAGAGCAACTACTACTACACCTCGTACCTGCTACTACTAGTATGGCTACGACTACTACTACTACTATTCATACTCCTACGCCTCCTACTACGACACATACGAGAGGAGCCCGAACGACCCACACCAGGACGAGGGGCCCGAACGACTCACACCACGAAGAGCCCGAACGACTGCTACTGCTACTGCTACTGGTACTGCTACTCCTAGTGTAATGCCTCGTGCAGCTTCTCGTACTACCACTACCAGTACTCGTACGACTACTGCTACTACCACTACTACTTGTACGGGTACTACTACTGGTAGTGTTACTGGTATTACGACGATTCCTACTTCTGCTATATCTAGAACAACAACTACTACACCTCGTACCTGCTACTACTAGTATGGCTACGACTACTACTACTACTCATACTCCTACGCCTCCTACTACGACACATACGAATATCACTTCTATTACACCTCATACAACTACTACTACTACTACTACTACTACTACTACTACTACTACTACTACTACTACTACTACTACTACTACTACTACTACTACTACTACTACTACTACTACTACTACTACTACTACTACTACTACTACTACTACTACTACTACTAACTACTACTACTACTACTACTTACTACTACTACTACTACTACTACTACTACTACTACTACTACTACTACTACTACTACTACTACTACTCGTACTACTACTACAATATAACTACCACTACTACTACCCCACCACTACTACTCTAGCGAAGCATGCCGGCCGTGGGGTGCTCCAACCGTGTCTCCCCGTGCCCTCGCGCATATCCCTGTCTCTCTACTCATACTCCTGCGCCTCCTACTACGACACATACGAATATTACTTCTGCTACACCTCATACTACTACTACTACTACGATTACTCCTACTACTACTATTCGTACTACTACTACTACTACAACTACTACTACTACTACTACTACTACTACTACAATATAACTACCACTACTACTACCACCACTACTACTCTAGCGAAGCATGCCGACCGTGGGGTGCTCCAACCGCGTCTCCCCGTGCCCTCGCGCATATCCCCTGTCTGTTCTTCCTCCTGCCTCTTCTTCTATCTTCCTGCATCTATCTTGTTGAGGGAGCCCACGAGGAGGAAGAGGAGGAGGGAGAGAAGGCGATGGGGGCCAAGACAGACGGCGGTCCTCCTCGAGTCCTACACCTAACCGGCTCAGACGACTCATATGACGGCGACTTCTCAGACGATGATGGCGGCGACGACGCCGACGACGACGGCGACCATGCTTACGATGACAACGCCGACTTCGACGACGACGATTGAATGGACGACGGCGTCGGCGATCCAGCGATCTTTCCTGTCCAGTTCTGCAGTGCGCACGCGGCGCAAGTGACTGCCCTGCTCAGGGTCGCAGCTTTGAGCTGCACCTGAAAGGCAGGTTCGCCCATCCAGTCGGGCGCGGGCAGCAGGCGGCAGCTTCGGAGGGAGAGGTGGAAGACGAGCAGAAAAGGAAACTCGCCTCCGAGATCGGTCTTCTCGAACAGATGTGAAGAATCACGGAACTCAGAGTTCGCGCTTCTGAGGATGTCGCAAGAGGCCCCAAGCTGGGCCCAAGTGGCCCCCAGGAGGCTCCCAAGAGGCCTCCAAGAGGCCCCCAAGAGGCCCCCAAGAGGCCCCAAGACGCCCCATGAGGCGTCCAAGAGGCCCCCAAGAGGCCTCCAAGAGGCCCCCAAGATGCCCCAAGAGCTTCCGAGAGGCCCCCAAGAGGCCCCGCGAGGAGCCCCACCGACTCACCCCAGATCGAGGGGCCCCAACGACTCACACCACGAGGAGCCCGGACGACTCATACACAAGGAGGGGCCCGAACGACTCATACCAGGACGAGAAGCCCGACGACTCACACCACGAGGAGCCCGAACGACTCACACGCAAGGAGGCGCCCGAACGACTCACACCAGGACGAGGGGCCCGAACGACTCACACCACGAGGAGCCCGAACGACTCATAAACAAGGAGGGGCCCGAACGACG